AGGAAATAGGTAGGAATAAATGGGGACAACAGGACAGGGACGGGAGGCACGATGGTGCGCTTATGCACGGCCCTTGCAGACCTCTTAGGAAAGGGGTGAGGTCAGTAGGGGACAGTTTGAGGTTAAAGAAGTAGAGTGGGGTTAGAGGATGTAACAACAGAGTCAGGCATCGACCACTCTGTGGCTGAAGTCGTACTTCCTGCAATCAAGTTCGGAGAGGTTTACATTGAGTTTGGTAGGATCAGCATGAGAAAATTTGCAGCGGAAAGGCAGAATTTTTAGCTACGGATAGTCCTGGACTTATGATTGGTCTCTTAGCGAGCATTTAGCGGTACAGAAGACCTCCAAAATGGGACTTACGACCCAGTTTCCAATGTCCACCCTTTGTTGTCCTCTCCCCCCGGGCACGACTTGGCGAGCAGCCTGTATTCATGGCCATGTGTGGCCCCCCCAGGGTCGTGTGAATGTGCCTTGTGACGTTCTTACTGGCAACCAGGGTTTACTTCCGTTTCTGGAGAAAACCACCTCACGGTGAAACAATGGACTTGTTTAGCGACCGTGGCATGAAAGGGCATAAAAGCTTTTCCTGCCGGGCTACGCCGGAGGCAACTTAAACGAGCAGGATAAACAAGTTTTATTCTCGCAAAGCTCAGAAACCCCGTTAAGCAATTCCAGCAGCTGCCATGTGTGAAGAACTAGCTCTCTTTAGAATCACCTACACCCAGTTGGCGCTAGCTTTTCCTCCCAGCGGCTGTGCCTCGCTGGCCAACAGGTCCTCCTTGAAGGGCAGGGTTGTTTTTTTTTCCCATCCGTGTCTTCTTTGTCTCTTTGTGAGGATGCAAGCATTAACTTCCATACAGAGGTGGTGTTGTGGGGCATCTTCGTGCTGGTGGGGGGGTCCTTGGTGCCCTCTTACCATTTTAAGAGTGGTGAAAAAGCAACAGGTCCCTCTCAGAACTGAACGATTCTTCCCGAAATCAGACTGACGCCAAACCTCCTGGGTTTTAAGAAAGTGGAACTCAAAAGCGGAAACGGCGTTTCGAGAAACCGGTTAAGGATTCAACACAGGGCGGTACTTCCGCTTGCAAGCCATTCATTTAGCGACCCAAGTTACAACGGCATGAAGAAAGGCGTGTGTTTTTTGACACTTGCAACCCAGGCAGCATCCCTCACATTTTGTCATGTGAGGAAAATCCAGTCATCAACCTGGCTCATGTTTATGATGGTTGCAGTGTCCCAGGGTCGTGGGATTCCCCCTTTTGCGACCTTCCGAACAAGCTGTCAGTGGGGTGGGGAAGCCAGGTTCACTTAACAACCGTGTGACTAACTTAACTGCAGGGATTCACTTAATTGTGGTGAGAAGTCGTAAAATGGGGGCAAAACTCACTTAAACAGCTGTCTCACTTAGTGACAGGAACTCTGGGCTCAATTTTGATCGTTAAGTCAAAGACTTCCTGCAGCCTAAAGTCTTCCCAGGCACAATTCCCTCAAATGCAAAGGCCGAAGCCTTGTGTCATGAATGTTGACTCCGATAACAGCCAGACAGGGAGCGGGAGTGTGGCTCTGGAGGTCGTGGAGGAGGCTGGGGAAGGGCAGAGGCCGGCTGGGCAGTCAGAGGAGGACCCAGGCCCATCTCCTGTCCATCCTAGGGCACGCAGGGGGGAGAGGATAAGGGAGAGACGGGAATGGCATGGTCTACGGGGGAGGAAAGGGTCCTGATCCCCTTCATGGGCTGCAGCTGTGAGAACTGGTTAAAAGGACAGGCATGCGTATGGCCCAATGCTGGAAACAAAGCATGGAAATATCACTAGTCTGTCGTTCCTGAGTTTGGCGTCCTTCCCAGTGTGTGTTCCGACTATCTGTGGACGTCTTCAAGCCCTTATCTTGCCTGGTTCCCTTAATTGCTTCAGTGTGGTTTGTGTTGTTTTTACTCTTACAATTTTTAGGCATTTTTAATTTAAATTTAATTTAAATTAAAAAAATTTGTAACTGCTTGTAGGGGAGTTTTTTGTTTCCAGTCAAGCATATTTGGAGCTTTGAAGCAAAGTGAAGGAATCAAAGGGGCTTCACCTGTTTTTTGTGATTGTGTTTATTTTGTATCCCACCCTGAATCATCACACTTTGGAAACTGTCAAGACTTCCTCCTGCAACTCTACTGGTTACACTGATTTACGATTCACTGTTTCTTGGCGTAGCCTGGTGAGAGAAAGGTTCCATTTGTTGGGTTGTTTTAAGGCCTTCCCTGTAAACTGGCTGTGCAAGCTCCCCCTTCAGAGAGTTATCAATGAAGTGGGGGGGGGGGGACGCCTAAGACAAAACCTGGACAGCCCCTCAAACGAACCCTGGAACCCCAAAAAGCTTTTGAACGGTTCAAAAGGCACTTCGCACGGGAACCCATTCTAAAACACCCTGAGCCAGCGTTGCCTTTTATAGTGCAAGCCGATGCTCGCGACGTGTAGAAGTGGCGGCAGTTCTACTCCAGAAAAATGATCCTAGAGGTCTGCAACCCTGCGCGTATACGTCCCCCCAAAAAAAACCTCACGGACACTGAAAGAAGTCGGGCTGTATGGGCAAAAGAAGCTTCTGCAGTCCAAGGGGCTTTACAAACTTGGAGACAGTATTTTAGAGGGCAGTGACATTCCGTTCGAAGTGTGGACAGACCATAAAAATTTAGAAGCTCTAAAAACATCCAGGAAGCTCTTCCCTAACAGGTTAGATGGGTTCAATACTACCAAAGGTTCCATTTCCAATTGAAGTATCTCCCAGGGGGTGAAAAATCTACTAGCTGGGAAGCCCCAATTTGACAGTAAGCGAGAAGTATTTCACCCCAATCGTCCCGCCGTCTCAAGAGACAAGTTCAAGTAAGATGGTCGCCCCCCCACATACGAAGTCTCCGCTCCCCAGAGCTTGAAGACTGATGTAACGTTGGCTTCTGCCGGAGTCCAACTGATGGGAATCGTATCGATGCAGCTCGTCCTTCAGCTGGTTTCCATTGCTAAGCAAGACGCTTGTTAAGTGGGTCTTGCCCCATTTGATAACCATCCTTGCCACCGTTGTTAAGCGAATCGCTGCAGTTAGTAACGCAGTTGTTGAGTGGACCCAGCTTCCCCGTTGACTTTTGTCTATCAGAAGGACGCAAAAGGGGAACCACGTGACCCCTGGGACACTGCGACCGTCATAAATGTGAACCAGCTGCCGAGCATCCAGATTTTCGTGATCCTGGGAATGTTGCAAGGGTCGTGTGAACAGCCAGTCTCCCGCTTGGGCGGGGGGGGGTTGGACTAGATGTCCTATAAGGTCATCTGTTATCAGTTGCAAGTCACTTTTTTCAGGGCCGTTGTCACTTCGGTCACTAAAACAACCGTTGTAAGTCAAGGACGACCTGTGCATATACAATCTGGGCCACCTGTGCCTGAATCTCTCTGTCTGCCCAACCCTGCAGGGAATCCACAAGGAGCCAAGGCGTACAAGGGAGTCGTATGTAAAGGTCTGTCTGGCAACCTGGTCCAGCGACGAAAGAAAACAGAGAGACACACACACACAAAGCACCAGGTTTAATCACAGCCCACTGTATTGTATTTTTGTTTGTTTTAGTCGAAGTAGAACAACCACACACACCCACACGGATTCTCAAACACTTGTTTCGTGAACGTCGGACGTGGTAACACTTGCAGTAACGGAGAAACAGAAACCGGGGACATGCTTATATAGTTGACCGATGGTCCCAACGGACGGCCAAGTCTGGCCCGCCCATGCCAGCCCACACCAGAGGACGGCTTCAGAGGGAGCGGCTGGCCAAAACTTTCTGCCTTTCATCTGAACGAGGGTTTCGGCTCAGCGTGGGAGGAAAGGGGGGGGGGAATATATGTGCGCCTAAAACTGTAAGATTGATCAACTCCCAGGGGGAAAAAAAGGAGAAGAAATTGGAAAAGGCCAAGGGTGCCCCTATTTTGGGAGGGAGAGGGAGGGATCTGGGCTCTCTCATGGGTAGAGGCTACTTGCCAGCCAATGCAACCCACTGAATTGGGCTACTGGACCATACCAGACCTCCATGAAGCAGCCGTGGGGGTGGGAGTTGAACAGGGGTTTCAACAGGGTCTTCGTGGCTGTTGCAAGGAGGGAGGGATCAGAGACCCTGCCCCCAACTACACTGGGGCTGGCCAGGACAAACCATTATTGCTACCTCCTGGAGTATAAAACCCGGGGTGGGTGGGGGGAGGACAAAAGCGAAATGATGAAAGGAGGGGAGGATTTCAACAACGTGCAAGAAGGGAAAAGGCTCCCTTTCCGTCCAGCTCTTCCCTCGAGGCAAAAATAAGTTGAAGAGAAAGGAAGGATCCAGACTGGGCCAAAATTGAGCCAAGTTTTGACCATCTAGCAATCTGAAGAGGGTTCTGAGGAAGACGGAGGACTCTTTCAGAAGACTTGCAATGCTCCAGAAAGAGAAGCATTCCGGATGAGGATCTCCCTCTCTCTCAGGCATTCTGGAACCAGGGCTAGTCCAGAACTGACCCCCGATATACCATAAGCCTAATTTCCATGCTACAGAAACAAGATCTTCTGGTTAATAACACTGGATGTGAAGGGAAATTCATTGTTGGGTAGTGACACCCCTCTGTTGATGGTTGCAATTTCAGGATATTCTGATAGAAGGGGGAAAAAAAGGTGCCTTGGTTTGCTTAGAGAATCAACTCTGGGTTTGGTCCCATTGCCTGAATTTCAAGTCAAAGAACTGAACATTTGGCCATTTCTGAGTCAAGCAGGTTCAGCCACACTGGATCCCTGGCCCCTTCTTCCAGGGATCACTTAAAGCTCCGTGAACAACTGGTTCTCAGCCAGATAACATCAACAACAGGAGGTATATCTATATTTATATATACATATATATAAATACACACACACACACGTGCATAGCTCAAGAGAATAAGGCGCATAATTCGGGTGACGGATGGCAGTTCTGTATTATCACAGGACCAAAACTGGATGAGATTTTGAGAAATGTCTACAATCCATTTTGGAAAAAGGGAAGGCTGCAAAAAGACATTTTGGCTATTGGCGCTCCAGGCATGAAGACATACAGGAAGAACCAGTCACAAAAGGCAGCTAAAAGGCTAACTGTCCTACTACACAGCAGCTACTGCTTAATTATAATAGCATCTCTTCAAAACCACAAGCTCCGTTTGAACGAGGCGGCTCACTGGGCCATGGAAGGGATATAAACGTGCAAATTCCACAAGGGAGCTAACCAACCCAGCCTGCTAACTCAAAGAGGCTGGATTTAGCTCCAAACAGGTCTAGTCTGCGATGGGTGAGGTACGTGTGGACAATAATTACCAACCCCTTGTGGGCTTTGAGTTCTCTCTCTCTCTCTCTCGTGGGAGGAGGAGAATATGGCAGGAAAAGGAAAATGTCTCGCCCCTGCCAGTCATTGTAATGATTTGGAAGACCTAAAACAGACGAGGAAATTAGCTGAACTTGGGTGAACCAATTGTCCGCAAAGGAGCAGAGTTGGCTGATTTGTGGTGAGCGGAAAAAGGTTCGTTGTAGACCCAAGGAAAACACAACTGGAATTCCAAATTACTTTTGCAGGTGAGAAGCAAGACAGAGCTGTGGAAGATCCACACACAGGGATCCCAGGGAACAACGCCAGTCTGCCGGAAAGAACTTTCCAGAAGCCCAGCCAAAACACCAGTCGGCATGGGGGCTTTCCAACCGGTGAATGTAGATATTGCTCGGCCAATTTACCCGTTTTCCATCTGAGAAATTGAAGTGGGGAAGGAAGGAAGGAAGGTAAAAGAAGTGCCAGGAAGTATTTGTCTGGCTTAAATGGTAGTGCAAATGTACACTTTTAAGGGCTCAATCCAAAAAGTTCTGCTGTCGTTTCTCAGCTGCCCATCAATTTTGTGGGGGTCAAGAGGCCCGTTTGGAACAAAGCAGAGAAAGACCCAACGGAGGAGCTTGGTGACGGCGTCAGAAAAGGCGTCTCTACTCAAAGCATACAAAGAGGATGCAACGCCTCTTCCCAAAGGCGCCTGGCAAATGCCACCATGACGAGATACACGCCACCATGCAAATGGCATTGTTTGGGTCAACTGTGCGCCGACACCCAGGGCACGTGGGTGCCACTCCTTCCACAAAACACCCAGGACTTTCTTTCTCTGCGTGGCTCCAAAATACTTCGGAGATCCGGTCTCCACGAGAGACCGAATCGTCACCTTGTGAGCAGCGTGAGATACCTATTTTCAGCAGGACATTCAGGTATTTGCGGAGAAGGGCGTGGATCCATCTTTGCTTCCTGTCACACGTGCGATGCACCGGACTGGGCAAGACCGGGAGCCACACCAGGTTCGCTAGCACACGAGGCGGGGAAGGGGGCGACCCATTCACCGGCTGGTGGGAGGGGAGGGGCGAGACTCACTGACTCGTGCTGCTGAAGTACGTGTTGGCCTCCAAGGCCAGAGCCTTGACGTAAACCCGGAGGGTGTAGAAGAGGGTGAGGAAGTCCTGAGTGCTGAAGATCGTGTCAGCGAGGGCAAAGGTCATGGTGGAGGGGATGAAGCCTCGGCCGTACTCGACCATCCACGTGCCAGCACTCCACTGAATGGAGGTGGCCTCTCCGGAACGGTGGACAATGGTGTCTCCTGCAGGAGGCAAACAGGCAGCAGTTGGAACCTCACCTTAAGGTTTCCCTTTCCCGCGCAGGCCTCCAGGTGAGGAATCTGCAACTCACCTGGGTAATAAATCTCGCTTTTAGTCGTTCCCTCTTTCCACTGCCGGAAGGTCCCTGAGATGACCGTGTCGTGAATGTCAGCCCAATAGCGACCTGCCACGGGAAGAAAGAACATCCAGACGCTAGTCCCAGTTACAGGCAAGGGGGCCGCATCAGCTGAGAAGAGTTTCCAAAATTTTCTGCTTTCTTTCTTGCAGTCACCGCCCGCCCCTAACGTTGCATAAGCCAGCGGTTGTCAACCTTGTGAACTTTTCAAGATTGCAAAGGTCAACCCACCTTAAAGGTTACCAAGGTTGAAAAACACCGCAATAGAAATTACAAGAAATTACCACAATCTACTACTTGATGAGAAAAATGTGGGTAAGACAGCATCACCACCAGATGGATTTGTAACTGGCCGACCAACCGCACTCAACGTGTAGTCCTCAATGGAAATGCCTTTACACGGAGGGAAGTATGTGGTGGGGTGTCCCAGAGCTCTGTTTTAGGCCCCGGACTCTTCAAAATCTTCATCAATGATTTGGAGGAGGGGATAGATGGGGAACTCATCAAATCTGCAGGCGACACCAAGCTGGCAGGAATAGCCAACACTCCAGAAGATGGTCTTAAAATTCAGAAAGATCTCGACATAACTTGAACATTGGGCACTATCTAACAAAATGAAATTCAATGGTTAAAAAAAGGAAGGTTCTACATTTAGGCAAAAAAAAACCCCAAATGCACAGGTACGGTGTAGGTGTACCTTGCTCAATAGTAGTAACTGTGAGATCTTGGAGCGCTGGTGGACAATTATTTAAACACGAGCCAGCCGTGTGCTGCAGCTGCCAAAAAACCCCAAACTGGTCTAGAATTATAAATAAGCATTGGAAGAGTACGTGGGGTGCAACCCAAAAGAGCTTATTGTCCAGAAAGGAAAATTGCATTTTGCAGTTGGCCAATGGTCTTGCTCTAATGATCAGGCTGGCATCCAAGTTCTAGCCATTTGTATTTAATTTTATAGAGAGGATGACCAGTTCAAAAATAACATTGTGTCAACAATACAGCTTAAATGTTTGAAGGGCACTGATGTGCAAACAGGCTTTGTCCTAGGAAGTTTATTCAGCTAGGGTGACTTTCTGGTTTCGTACCGGAGACCTTCACTTCGAACTCAGGAAGACATTTCTGTATCCAGTATCCTAGACCAGTTGGGTTTAGTGGTAAAGGTACCAGGCTAGAAACCAGAAGACCGGGAATTCAAATCCTGCCTTAGGCATGAAAGCCAAGGGTGACCTTGGGCCAGTCATTCCCTAAGCTCAGTCCACCTCATAAGGTTGTTGTACAAAAATAGGAGTAAAACTAGGATCAGATATGTTCACTGTTGAGTTATTTGTAAAAATAGTGAAGGGTGTGATACCAATAATATAATTACCTACTATCAATCTTAACACACAACTGATGCAAAATAAGCTGGGATTCCTGCTTCTCACAATATACTTGAGCAACATATGTTAATAATATACAATTACAGGTAATCCTCCACTTACGACCACAGTGGAGGTCCAACATATTTGTTGCTAAGTGAAACATTTATTAAGTGAATTTGCTGCATTTTAAGATGTTTCTTGCCACAGTTGTTAAAAGTGAATCACTACAGTTAATCAAACTCTGTTGTTAAGCGAATCCGGATTCTGCATTGCTTGTCAGAAGGTCGCAAAAGGGGATCACATGACTCCAGGGGTGCTTACAATGGTCGTTAAGTGTGAAAACTGGTCATTAGTCAATTTTTGCAGTGTACTGGAGGCTTTTTAAGAAGAGACTGGACAGCCACTTGTCTGAGATGGTATAGGTTCTCCTGCTTGAGCAGGGGGCTGGACTAGAAGACCTCCAAGGCCCCTTCCAGCTCTACTCTATCCTATAACTCTGAATGGTCACTAACTGAACCGTTGTAAATCGAGGACTCTGTGTATTATATGGGCAAGAGAACCCCAAGTAGCCGATCTCGGGGTCCAGGTTTGCGTGGGGCTCACCCGAGTGGCCACTGGTGTCGACAGCGGTGCCAAACAGCAGCACGTACTCCGAGAGGGAGGCATGCAGGAGGCACATGGAGCCCATCCAGCCGCCGGCGTTGACGAACACCCAGCGCAGGTCCTCGTCTGGCAGCACGTGGCCCGGGTGCCTCCGCCGCAGCTCCACGATGATCTTGGCAAAGGCCAGCTCGTGGTCCAGGCCTGCAAAGGGGGCGAGGGGGGGAAAGGAGAGGCGCTTGAGAGGGGACGAGCCCCATGGGGGTTGGAGTCCGACTGTATCCCCCTCCCCACTGAGCATCGTGGGCTTTGGAGATTACACACAACCCCTCCTCGGAGCCCCTCTGAGGCACCACGGGGACTGGAGCTCAGCCACACAACCTCCCCATCGCTACGCAGAGCACCATGGGGGATGGAGTCCACTTGCACCCGCTCCTCAGAGCCTCGCTGAGCACCATGGGGACTGGAGTCAAACTGAAACCCTTCCTCAGAGCCTTGCTGAGCACCATGGGGACTGGAGTTCACCCCCTCCTCCTCCCCAGGGCCCTGCAGAGCACCATAGGGACTGGAGTCAAACTGAAACCCTTCCTCAGAGCCTCGCTGAGCACCATGGGGGCTGGAGTTCACCCCCTCCCCCTCCCCAGGGCCCTGCAGAGCACCATAGGGACTGGAGTCAAACTGAAATCCTTCCTCAGAGCCTTGCTGAGCACCATGGGGGCTGGAGTTCAGCCGCACCCCCTCCCCAGGGCTTCGCAGAGCACCATGGGGACTGGAGTCAAACTGAAACCCTTCCTCAGAGCCTCGCTGAGCACCATGGGGACTGGAGTCAAACTCAGAGCCTCGCCCAGCACCACGGACATTGGAGTTCGCCCCTCCCCCGCACTGACCGGCGTGGTGCTTAGCCAGGCGCACGATCTCCTCAGGCTCGAACTCGAAGCGCCGCGAGGAGGCCCAGCCGCGCAACGCCTGAATCAGCAGCGCCGCCGCCGCCACCGCCAGGCCTAACCGCAGGCCCCGACCGGCCCAGGCCCAGCCCGGCCCGGGCAGCCACCGCATCTTCCCGCCTCTTCTTCCCGCCGAAGAAGCCGCCGCCGCTGCCGCCGCCGCTGAGGGGACGCGAGAGAAGGAGGGGGGGAGGGGCGGCCAAGGGCACGCCGCGCGCGCTGGCCAGCCCCAGCCAATCGCCGCCCTGACGTCCCCCGACGGAGCCAATGAGCGCGGGCGCCAGCGGCGGTCGCCTCCGCCCCCGACTCCACGCGCTGCTCGCGTCATGCCAGGCCGCCAATCGCGCGCGAGGCCGACGGCCTCGCGCTTCCTCCATCAATTTCCCCCCCCCGCCCACTCTCTCGAGGTCACGTGGCACCGGTCACATGATCGCGGGGAGGCGGAAGGCATGGAGGCGGCTGCCAAGTTCCAGCCCAGCGGTACCAACGCCGCTCCTCCCCCCCCCCCCCCCTCGGGGGAAATTCGGGGGGGGGGGGGGGGGGGGCGCTATCTAAATGGAGCAGGCGAGGGGAGGGCTTCCCATGAAAGGGGAGCCTGTTGATAGGCGGAGGAGAGGAGGAGGGGGCGGAGACTGGGAAGGGGGCGTGGCCGTCTTGCCCAGGGGAGAGGCGGAGCCTGTCCGGGAGGGGAGGGGCATTCTGGTGGGGAGGGCGGAGCGAGTGGATCTGGGTTTTCAGAGGCCTATTGCTGAGGAGTAGGCGGGGCTATCCTATTGGGGCGTGGCCTATGCCTGTAGAGGTGGGGTTAGTCCGAAGGGGTGGGGCCTTATTGGGCGCAGGGCTGTGCTGAAGGGGCGGGGCCTGTTGCTGGACAGGAGGGGCAGGGTTATTCTGGAGGGGCGGGGCCTGTTGGGGAGGAGGGGCTATCCTGGAGGGGAGGGGCCTTTTGATAGATAGGAGGAGCTAATCCAGAGGGGCGGGGCCTTACTGGGCGCAGGGCTATGCTGAAGGGGTGGGGTCTGTTGCTGGACAGGAGGGGCAAGATTATTCTGGAGGGGTGGGGCCTGTTGGGGAGGAGGGGCTATCCTGAAGGGGAGGGGCCTTTTGGTAGATAGGAGGAGCTAATCCAGAGGGGCGGGGCCTTACTGGGTGCAGGGCTATCCTGAAGGGTCAGGGCTTATTCAGGACAGGAGGGGGCAAGGTTATTCTGGATGGGCGGGGCCTGTTGCTGGGGAGATGGGGCTATTCTGGAGGGGAGGGGCCTATTGGTAGAGAGGAGCATGTCCCCCCCCCCGCCCCCTGCAGAGCCCTTGATCACCTGGTGGGACCCCTTCCAGCCTCACCACCCGCATCTCTTCCCCAGAGCACCAGCACCTACGCTATAACCCTCTGCGGGAGGACTGGGTGCTGGTTTCTGCCCACCGCATGCGGCGCCCCTGGCAAGGGCAGTTGGAGAAGCCGCCTGAGGAGGACACCCCACGCCACGACCCGGCCAACCCCTTGTGTCCCGGGGCCACGCGGGCGAACGGCAAGGTGGGCAGCCTGGAGAACCGAGGGCAGGGCGGGGGGGAGGGTCTCTGCTCCCTCCTGACCCCAGCTTTGGATTTTGTGCCCGGAGTTTGCTTGCTCCTTTCTCCTTCGGGGGCTTCCTTCCTTGGAGGACCTAACCCTGGCATCTGGGTGGAAAGATTTAGGAGCTTCTATCTATATAAAAGCGGAATTCCACTCACGCATCATCACAAAATCTCCAGAACCGTCAAGCCTACAAACTTGAAATTTGGCCCCTATGTTCCTCTTGGCTTCTAGGGGCTCCCTAAGAAAGGATTTTTCGAAATAGCCATCAGAGCATTTAGAGTATTTCCTATATTATTATTATTATTAACACGCTCTGATGCTAAGGAGCTCCACTCCCCCTCCCCACCTGAAAAGAAACCTCTTCCAAATGCAAAACAGGAGCAGAGGAGAGGAGGTTCAGTTTCACAGCAGCTTTAGTACAGAACAGTTGAGCTAAGCCATGCCCAGACTCCTAGCTGTCTACTTTCTCACACAGCGATTCCTGTTTCAGTTTCCAAACAGCCCTCAACTCTCTCACACACTGACAGGATGCTAGCCAGAGGAAAACCGATGGAGGCTGGTAGGCAGGGGCAGAATTTCCCCCCTTATTTTCCTCCCCCAAAACTAACCCTGACCACGTATTTATTATTTTATACATAACAGTATTTATTATTTTAAAATAATAACGGAGGTGGTGAACATATCGAGTAGAATTGTGGGAATTATAAAACGAGGAGACCTTGATGGTCTTTTAGTCGAGCCCCATAGTTCAACCATCCTTTCCTCCTCCTATTCGTCCCATAATCACCACCCTGCGAGGTGGGCTGCATTTGCTGTCCTGCCTTAGCTGGGACTAGAACTCGCAGCCTCCTGGTTTGTATAAGCCAGCATTTGACCCACAACTGTATGGTGTTGATGGTGTCGGCATACATGGTAAGTGCTTGCCAGAGATGAGGCTGGAATCATAGAGACCCATGGTACCCTGCAAACGTCATAAATATCAGCCAGTTGCCAAGTGTCCAAATTTTGTTCAAGTGGCCATGAGGATCCTGCAATGGTTGTAAGTATGAAAAATGGACATAAGTCACGTTCATAAGTGCTGTTGTAATGTTGAGGACGATCCTATTCAAAAAGGAGAAAAAA